GAGAGAGAGAGAGAGAGAGAGAGAGAGAGAGAGCGCTTACACCAAGGCCTCCCCCACCACTTCCTTTTATAAACTGTTCTCTCTGCTCTACCCTTCCTGAGATCCTTCAGGTACAAGATGAAAAGGTATTAGAAGTTTCTACAGATGAACCAGTAATACAGCTTTAAACACCACAGTAAAATGAGAAATACCTTAGCACTGGAGTAGACAGTCTAATGTGAAACTTTCCTGACCCAATGTGATCATTCTACAATGTGTATATGCGTTTAAACATCACATTGTACCTCACAGATCTATGAAACTACTGTCAATTAAATACCTCTCATTCACAATTGTAGTACTACATCCACGTCTCAGGTCCCTTTTCTTTACTCTTTTCATGCTAGTCTGAGAAGCAGCTGAATTAAGAGTTATATTGGCAGCTTTTCAAAAAGACATGTGCCCTGGATCTACTTTCAGAAATTCTGATTCAGTTGATATAGGGTGGATTCTATTTTTAAAGATCTCTCAGTTGTTAGTGAAGAGTTTCATTTCTTATTCTTTGCTTCCACAGGGCCCAGAAAACAGCTGGGGCACTGACAGGGTGAAAAGAAAAGAGAAAAAACTTTGCACTCCAGTTCATGTGCTAGGGACGGCTCCTACCAAGTCCCAGCATCTAACACATCTCATGAAAAGCAATCACAATGTGAGATAACTTTCCCTAACACAGTGATCGTGATCCTCAAGAGAAAAGATGAGTGCAGATACGTCGGGTATCTGTCTACCTCCCCAAAGGCTTGATTTCTTTTTTTTTTTTAAGGCTTGGTTTCTTAAAAAAGGAAAAAAAAAAAGGTTTTTCTATCTTGCTCATACTTGACAACATCTCTCAGAAATGGTACAGTGAAGAAATGATTGGCGATGTTCCCCGCATTGAACAGCAGTCGTCCATCTGAGCTTCGCTTTTGAGCTGTTGCCAGAGAAATCTCACTGTATTCTACCACCTGGTATACTCCATCCACTCGGCAAACCACTCCAACTGGTTCCGTGGGGTTTGTTTTCTCTACCACCTGCCCATCAAAAAAAGACAACAGGAAAGGAAGACATTCAATTAAAAGCTTCTTTGGAGATTTGCCATTATCAAAGCCTACCTTTATAATTTTGCTTACACTGTCTTTATGTGTCAAAGCTTTAGAAAATTTACCATCATTATATTCTTTGACAGACTTCTTTCCATACAGAAATAAGGTACATCATGTCCTTCCCATTTATCACAAAACCAAGTCAAGGCAGAAATACCACTATCTATATAGAGTCCAAAGGAAATCAAAGGACAAAGATAAATTAGATGAAGGGTCTATTTCCCAAAATACCTTATATTTTTAATTTGACTTACCCTTAGTCAGACTTAAGTACTTTAAAAATAAAATAAATTTCTCTGGGATCCACAACACAAAAGATGTTAGTAAGGCGTATATTTTTTTTCTCATTTTAAACTGCCCAGATCATGACTTCATTTGAAAATTGTTTCTTCAATTTTCATTCAAGAATATAGCATTTTCTTTATTTTTCAGAAACCTAGATAAGGAGGAAGGCTGAAGCAGACAGGTCACTGGGCTTCCACTCCAATTTTAATCCGAAAAATCTACTAGTATTTATCCATTTTCATGTTAGACTTCATTTGAAGTATGAGATTCTATGTCTTTAAACTGTAAGAAAACCAGTGATTTGCTCACTTAACAATGGCTCTGGGAAAAGAGTATATATCAAAATCAGAGGGAAGTGATAAGAGTATGCAATTAAAACAAGACTTGCACAGGTGATCCTGATGTGCCTCTACTGAATCTTAACACCACTGAAACAAGAAAAATACTTGGAAGAAAATTATGAAATAACTATGAAATGTATTAATATAAAATCAAAGCTCAAGCTGAACACGGTGGTTCATGCCTCATAATCAAAGCTCACTTGGGAGGCTGAAGCAGGACTGCTGTAAGCTCAGGGCAGCCTGGACTACAGAGTAAGTTCTAGGCAGCCTAGGCTACAGAGTAAGGCCTAATTAATTAATTAGATGTTCAGATGACGTGAGCACCCAGTGTAAGAACCAAATAAAAAAGAGTACTTGAGGGTATTGTTTTCCCTGTACAACTAGTAAATCATATTTCAGAGTACTTTTAAAAACCTGTCCCCTATTTGAAAAATGTATCCTAAGGATATATGAAATTATACCAGAAAGTTTAAGAAACTTTGCTTCAGCAACTGATTTCTTAAAATAGAGCCATTCCTAGTCTCTTCCAGACAACTAAAATCATTGAGACTTCGTTTACACAGCAGTTAGAATCAGCCAAGAGTCTGGCTCCATGAGTCAGGACTCCTGAACATGTAAGCTCCTGTGTAGCTGCACTGTTTGTCACTCTGAAAGGGACACAGTACTCAGTAAAAAGAACTGTTTTATCAAGGAAGTAGATTAAACTGGAAGGAAACATAGAGCAAAATTATTTAATCCAATCATGGGCCTATTTGCAATTCTTGTCTATCAACCTGTCACCACCTCTCACTCCCTACATTGGGTGCGTGTACTAGGTACAGAATTTTCCCATTTTTTTAAATGCATACAAGGTTTGTTTTTCAATCACTTCTATGCACCCCACACCCAACCTACCATAAAGAAAAGCTTACTTCTCTAACTATTTAATTGCCACATAGTATAAAAGTCTGAATTTCAAAAGAAAGCATTTGTAAACTGAATAATATAGGAATTCAGTTTATATTATACAGAAAGATATGTATCATAAAATTAAGATATTTTTACCAATATCCTATAATGTTCTAAAAAGCAAGAATCCAAAATTACTGCAATTACTTCACAAAATGATATCCATTACCAATGGTTCTTAACTTGTGAACTGTATGTACCTCACCCTTCCAGTCTTTTCTCAAAGAAACTCCATAAAAAGGTACTGACTGCATAGAGATAGAGAAGCACCACAAAGTACTATAAAGAATTTTACTGCCATATTTCAAATCGCTCCCTCATTAGGATATGTCAAAATATTTATCTTTAACACTTTGTTTTTAAATTAACAAAGTCAGGTATGGTGAAACATATCTGTTTGAGTCCAGTCTGGGCTACAAAACAAGACCCTATCTCAAACAAACAAGGTGGGAAGACAGATAAATAGGTAAAAAGTTTCTAAAACTTTTCATCACATTAGTCTAGTCATAGGTTTTGTTCCATCTGAATTCTTATTTCTTCACTCACTGAGTGATTATGACATACAATGCCAGACACAGGACTAAGCAGTGAGTCTGTACAGGATTTATCCTTGAGGGTCCAACAGGTAATGGAGAAAAGCTAACACTTGCAACTTTATGGGATTAATGCATTCACAAGAGTTAGCACAGCAGTTTAATGTGTTTTGAGCTGCTGGAAAACTCAAGACTATTCTAAAAACTGGCTTGTATAATGTGACATAACAGAGTTATGGGACACATGAATTCTAATCCTGGTTCTGCTAATATGATACAGGACCTTGAAATGGGACTTACAAAGTACTGGAATGCAGGTTGCTAATACCTAAGATCAAATAAGCTGACCAACTCTGAAGTCCCCTCCCACTTACAGACTCTGAAGCTTAGTGCAGTAAAAACTGTTCCTGTTTTAGGAAGGAGAGTGACACCAAGTGGAACAAAGTCAGAAATGCACTGTTTTGTTTTGATTTTTTTTTTAAGCTAGTAGCTATTTATAATCCAATATACTATGTTTTTATTACAACTTAGTACCTAGTTAAGATACATTACATATGCTCGTGAAGTACTAGAGATGCCTTAAATAGATGAACTATATCAATTATCATTTTCAGAGTCAAAAGGAGTATTATGCTGGACATGGTGGCTCAAGCCTATACCTCTAGCCCTTAGAGTTCCAAGTTATTACAGGTTAAGAACAAGACCTTATCTTTAAAAAAAATTTTTTAATTATAAATTCTTATTAGATTCATCAGTTCAATCTCTCAAAACACATTTGGGTAAATTTAAGACTTCAGCTTCTAGATGTGACCTTCATTAGATTTTTAGACTAGACCCCATATATGCCTGAACATTACCAGCCACTGTTATTGCTCTTAGATACCCTCTAGATCTTGACAGTAAGACCCTACTGCCAAAGACAATATATACTTGACTTATAGAACATGGAGAAATCAAGCAGGTACTGACCTGGGCTTTATCCTTACTGGCTAGCTTTCATAGCAATGCATACTACTGGAAGAGAAAAGTAATTAACCATCTTACCCAGTGGTGAACCCTGCAAGCTACAATAACTGGGCGAGATATGCCCACTCATGCAATAGCGGCAAGAATGTTATGGGAGTAACTTTCTGATTGAATTTAAGACCCACTCCACAAAATAGACCCTGACACTGTTGTCAGGGTTAAGAATTGGTGGCTAGATAGACCATAGACCTCAGGGGAGAACCTACTACTCTTATTCTGCTAAACACAGTATTAAACTGACTCCTAATGACTTACATTATAGCGTAGATTAGTGAATCTCTCAAACCTCATCAGAGAGAAGCTTTTCTTATCCCCCACAGCAGATGGTGATAAACACAGAAGCCCACAATTGGTCAGTATATAAAGACACTCCTGTGTTCCTATGTTTACTGTTATATAACTCACAGTAGCTAAGATTACAATCAACCTAGACACCCTTCAGGGGTGAATGGGACAACTGTAAACCGTTTTAAAAAAATGTCCTATCATTTACACCAAAATAGATGGGTCTAAAGGACATTATGTTAAGTGAAAAAAACAAAACACAGAGAGGCAAATACCACATGCTCTTTCTTTCATATGTATCACATAAAGCCAATCTGAAATGTAAAATAGTGATTACTAGGGGTGGGAAGGGTAGGAGGTGAACAGAGGAAATGTGGATAACAGGTAGAAAAACAGTCAGACAGAGGAATAAGTTCGGTGTTCAACAGCATGATACAGCAACAAATGTTCACTAAAAGTTGTTGTATATTTTTCGAATACTTAAAAGAAAACAAGTTAAAATGCCCTATCTTTACATAGCACATTCTTACATACATGGATCTGCTGTTAACTCACTTTTTGGAGGGCTGAAGAGATGGCTCAGTGGGTAAAAGCATCTGCTGTTCTGGCAGAGGAGCAGAGTTCAGTTCCCAGCACCCACCTTTAGAGACTGAAAAGTGCCTGTAGCTGCAGCTCCAGGGGATCCTGTGCCTTCTTCCAGCCTCCTCAGGCACCCACACTCAACATACACATACCTCCCCTCCCCTCCCCCACACACATACACAAGATTAAAAATAAAATAAATCTTAAAAAAGAAAAACCTCATCTTTTCCCACGAACCTGTCATTCTATTCTGATTCTAGAGCCACACTCCTTGTGGCTATTCATAATTCATTTTAGTATCTCATCAGTTGTCTCAATCTCCCTTCCCTTCTTATCATCACCCCTTAACATTTTCTTGACCATCTATCCAGGTTTAGTTTCAATTATCATTTCCCCCAAAAGTAGTCTCACTAGGATTTTAACTTGATTGTATTATACTTTATTTGGTAAGAATAGAAGCCTTTAGAACCTTCCAGAAAAGCAATGTTTACAGCAGTATTTTAAATCTTCTGAAACGTTTTTAAGGTCTTTTGTGTTTTCTGGGTATTTTATTCCCAGTATATATGCATTTTATCTTCTGCCACAAAGGCATTATCATCTATGTCATTAAAAAAATGTTTAAAAACATATACAGCATTAAAACTTTCCCATCCTAAACCAGTGTGTTTGTGGACATTCCAGCAGTAATTTGATATTCTTACTTGTCCTTATCCTTAATCTTCACATTTCTATTTTATTCCCAAGAATATCATGAGACACCCTGATAAATGCCTTAAGTCTAAATCTGCTGTTCCTATGGTATTTCCTAACCTACTACTCCAGTAGGAAAAGCAAGAGGTTAATCTGCTTGAACATGACATGATAAGATTCATTAATGAATCTACCTCAAGGGTAATGATAACCATTCATTGGCTTTCTTAAGTATTTACAGGTCATCCTCACATATTTCAAATTCTTAATTATAATAAGCATCTGTTACTTTGAGAACTATTCAAGAACTAAGTGTTGTCAATTAAAGAAAGCAATGACATTGATCAGTTACTCTAGAGGGATGAATGCTTCTAAAATATTCAAATCACCTTACTAATCCTAGACTGACAGAGAAAAATCATTTAAAGCCTCACTAAAGGTGAGAAGGCATTACCTTCGCCCCACAGTCTGCTCCTTTCTGAATGCAAAATCCAATGAACCGTGGGTCTGCCACTTTTACCAATATGTTGTCTACACAATAGACATGAATACTCCAGATGCCTCTTTGCTCCATATCCTCCACAATGTTTTGGGCTGCAAGAGCCCGATAGAGACCACCATTCCCATCTGGAAAACAAAACAACCCAGTAGAGCACACTGTGACTCATTATGAAGGTAAGGAGAAGACTGTTTATTTATTTATTTATTTTTTTTTTTTGGTCTTTTTGAGACAGGGTCTCCCTGTAGCCTCAGCTGTCCTGAACTCACTATGTAGACCAGGCTGGCCTTGAACTCAGAGAGATTCACCTGCCTCTGCCTCCCGAGTGCTGGGATTAAAGGCATGCGCCACCATGCCCGGCTGACTGTTTAATATTTACAAACTGGTTGGAGTTCTCTGAAAAAACGTTTTCCTGTGACAAAGCCTAGAAACTGAACATGCATAAGAAAGAGTTGGGGTGTCAAAAAGCTCCATTACAAGGTTTTGAAAGCTACTTAGCATGGTATACACAGAATAACATTATTACTGTCAATCCAGTAAACTCCAAAAATTATGTTACTGGGCCTTTTTCAATAATGTAGCATATAATATATTGTATAATATAAACTTTATCAAGCAATAGTTATCCAGGCCATTTCAAGTTTTATTAATACTGACAATTCAATTAGCTCTATATATACAACCCCAACAAACCATTTTACTTATCTAAAAAATAAAAATGTATAAGAACTTTATACCAAACCATTTGTTAAGAAGCCAGATTATAAGAATGCCCATTGTGATTTAAACTAAATGCAGCTAAAAGCTTCTTTTTCTATTTTCAATGCTGCTTTAATATATTTCCTCCTTCAACAACCTTGACCATAATTTAAATGATGATGAAAAATTAGACAGTGTCTCAAAACAGAGCTAAGAATAAATAGCAAACTCTTCTATTAGAAAAGAATATCTGGGATTTCAGTGGTAGAGTACTTGCCTAGCATACACAAAGCCCTGGGTTCAACCCCCAGCACTGCATAAATCAAAATGTGGCAGCACACACCTGTAATCCCAGCAGTTGGGAAGTAGAGGAAGGAGGATCAGGAGGAGTTCAAGGTCATCCTCAGCTACACAGTGAGTGGCAGACCATCCTGGGCTACATGAGACACTGTCTCAAAACAAACAATAATAATAATTTTTAAGGAATCCAGATGAAATACAAGCCAACACGTGGAGAATATTATTGTCTCTTCCTTTCTGTTTTTCCTCCAAGTACAGATTCATAAAGACCTGAATGTGTTAATAGGTTCACAGTTGAGATCATCTTCAAGGTCACTACTTGTGGCTCCACAAGCAGCACACTGTCCAGTTCTAGAAGTGCCATCAGCAGTCTGCAATGTGCGTACACTGTGGACAGTTGTGCCATGCAGTGTCCCTAACCATATGGTATACACAGATCTTTGTTTGTGTTCTCTTAACCCAGGGAAAGATTTCTCTTTGCCATTTAATGTCTCTAAACGATTATTTTAACATTATTTAGGAAAGAAAGCTGTTTGTAAAACTATAATGTAGACTCTCACCATTTTGTTGTTGTTTTTCTTTTTCAGTGCTGGCATGTGAACTCAGAGCCTTGAATGGACTAGGCAAGCAATCTACCACGGACTCAAATCTCCACTAAAGCCTCTCACTGATTAAACTGTGGGTATTTCTGGTTTCTCACTACAGTCAATAATACGCCATGGACACTGCTGTAGATACAGAATGCCAGGTGAAGAGAATGAACACCCTGAAAGCTGCTCTAGAGCAGACAACCCCAGAAGTATAAAAACTCATCCATTTCACCAATAGACATTTTCATCTTTTTAAGGCACTGTGAAGTAGAAAAAAATTATTTTTAGCATCCAAATCACTACATTCAAAGAATATAAAAACTTACAGCATGTGTCATTACTATGAATTAAGCCAACATTATATAAGGATGATTACAAACCTGGAGCCATAGAGACTTTGTTTTTCTCTTCCAAGATAATTTTCCCACCAAAACTCATAGCAGGCAGCATTCCCTGCTGAAAGAAGATCACATTCTCTTTTTTCAAGCCAAAGTACTTGTGTTTCATGAAAAACTCCTTCGTGGATTCCATTGTTCTACCACTCGTCATGATATACCTTACAAAAGAAAGGAGATTTTCTATATTGTGCAAATTGGGGCTAAAGACAATCTAGGGCAGCACTTGCTTCTTATTTTGACTCCAACTTTTTCCTAAGACACATTATTAGCTGTTAATTCCTTCCAACGATTTTATTAATCCTTCTGTATAAAATCAACCTAACAATATCAAACATACTTCCTGAAGCAGAGAAGCTGTATCTGGTATAAGTGAAAGCATTCATAACTCTGTGAAAGTACATGCTAAAAATTAAAGCTTTTATTCTAAATAAAGTAGATAATGGCAGGGACTGGAGAGAAGGCTCAGTGGTTAAGAGCACTGACTGCTCTTGCAGAGTTCCCAGCACCCACAAGGCAGCTAACAACCATCTGTAACTCCAGTTCCAGGAGATCTGATGCTTTCTTCCTACTTCCTTGGGCACTGCACGACATGAATGCACTTACATACATGCAGGCAATACACTCATACACATAAAATAAACATAATAAAATATTTTTTAAAAAAAAGATAATGGCAGTATAGTCTAATGATCTCTTGTGGTTCTTTTTATTAAAACCTGAAATAGAATCCAGGTTCTGCTCATCTTCCAGTTACAATCATAAAAGTAAAATCATACACTGTTGTCACAAAAATTGAATTCATGCTAGAATGGAAAAGGTGAAAAGAACCCTACCTAAAACTACAATTAGAAGCTGCAATGTTTTTTAGCCTTACTAGAATATATATGGGAGTCATGATTTTTGCCTGATATGGTTAGTGATTAATAATTAGCATTTGAAAGCTGGCACTCAACTGATAGTTGCTGAACAAATAAACTGTTGAAGACAATAGTATAATTTCCTACCACGGTGAACATCATTTACTAAATCAATCTTTGGGTAAAACAAGCTAGACCATAATTTAGATGACAAAAGAGTTAAGTAAACTATTCTGCCTAAGAGCAGAAATAGCACACTGTGAAGAGATGGATAGAAAAAAGTTCACACAGGTCTTATGTTGAGAAGAGCTAGAAAAGCTAGGCAATTTTAAAAACAAAACCAAATAGTCTCTTCAAAGGACTCAGAGAGCCACAGAAGGAGCACGAATTGGAACAGAAGTCCCAGAGGGGGAGAATCTAGGATAAGCAGCTGCTTTGTCGGGATGGTATTCTCTGGTACTGGTACAGTCTAGATAATATGCACTAGGACCAGAGGCTGCTGCATGGAGAAGGAAAACCAGCAGAGATTTTGTTGGTCATATGGGACTGAAACGACCAGATCAGGGACTTGAAGGATGTCAAAAGCACAGCTGATTTCCCCCCTCAAAACAGGCCAGCCTCCAAAACTGTTCTGGGAAAGTGATTAGAGGACAAATCAAAAACTTGAGAAAAGCAGAGCAGAATGTCCTGAAATCTCTTGGTAATTAGGGTACAAACAGTGACCGAGGCAGAGGCCCTGAATACTGGTAGAAGGTGAGAAAACAAGTTTGACCCACAGCAGAGAAATCAAAGTAGCTTTCATCTGGGGTGTCCATGGAAGTGGGAGAAGAGTAAGAACCAGAGAATCTGGGACTTAAGGACCTGAGTTCCTAGAATGAAAAAGCCTAGCAGGTACCCAGAGCAGACCCATACCATGATATTATGAAATTTCAGATACTGAAGAATAAATTCCCAATGCTCTGAAGGAGGAAAAACAGGGAAAGATTAGGAATCTGAATGGCACTACACATCTAGCCAGCAATGTAGAATAGCTACCACCGTCAGAAATCAGAAGGAAACTGGCTTTCAATCAAATTCTGTCCTAGACAAGCTACTGATCAGTATGAAGTTTCTAGGTTGAGGGTTTACTGAGTACTGAAATGTATTCCTAACCATACTCAGTCAGGGATGTAAAAGTTAAAAGTGAGCATATATTGTCCCTTAAGGCCACTGATATCATACAGCTAGCTATAATATATATTACTTTTAACATACACAATAAATTATGCCACCACAGAAAATCACTGGTAACAGGAAAGTTAACATGAACATTTTAAATATAACAAAATACACGTTGCAACATGAAATATATCTCACCATGGAATGACGCACGTGTTGCCATAATGCTTCTCAGCCAGCTGCTGTAGCTTCAGGATACGTTCTGCTTGAATCTGAAAAAGTGTCTTATGGGATGGCAAACCAACATCATACATGCCCTTGGGATATGCAACTCCAAGTCTTGTCCCCTGCCCACCAGCTAGAAGAAGAACCGCCACTTTGTTCTGAGAAATCTGGAAAAATCCTGGAAAGAAAAGACCCGTATCACAAAACCTCTATAATCCAATGTACAGAATTAAATCAAACACCCCAAAATGAATTATATACATCAATGAATTCATTTAAAAATTTTTTCTGTTAAATTAGAAGGTAAGAACAAACAGATGCCAGTAAAGGTTTTGCAAGAACTTAATAAACCAAGTAAAAGGTAGAATAAAAATAAGATACCAAGATTTCAGGATGAATGGCAACACATTAAACTACCTCCAGCCTATAAATCAATAATCAATCAATGAACATGCAAATACACTGGGCAAGCAATTACCCTGAAAATATAAAGAAATCCTAGGTTCTAAAAGTTAGAACACTTAGCTAGAAACCTAACTCGAATTTATACACTTTTATATTTATCTCATCTTCACTTAGACCCTACTATTAAAATCAATTGTAACATAATCCATATACGTGATCTTAAAAAAAAAAAGTTTCGGTGGGCTAGGGAGATGGATCAGTAGCAAGAGAATTTGCTCTGCAAGTGTGAGGCTCTGGATTCAAATCTCCAGCACCCACGTAAAAAGCTGAGGACAGCTGCATGCCAATGATCCCAGCATTGGTGGGCAGACAAAGATGGATCTCAACAGTCCACCAGTTAGCCAGCCTAGCAAAACGGTGAACTTCAGGTTCAATATGAGACCTTCTCTCAAGGCAGTAAGATGGTCAATATTAAGGGAAGATACCTAGATGTCCTGCTCTGGTCTCTACCTGTGCACATGGGCAGTCACACAGGCACACACACAGGCGCGCGCACACACACACACACACACACACAAAGGATTTCTGTATTTCTGTTTTAACTTATTCATCTAACTTATGAGATGACAAAGGAAAAAAATGAAAGGAAAGGAAACAATCCATGAAGAATCAAATCCAGAACAATTCATAAACAAATGCAGCCAGCATGGCTATTCAGGATCCAATGATGTACACAGAGGCTGAAAATAGCGCATCATCTAATTCAGCTGTGTAACTACAGTTAAGCCATCATTGCTTATCAAAAGTACATGTGACAAATGAGGCGTGGTGATTGATACATGCCTTTAATCCAAGCACTAGGAGGAAGAGGCAGACAGATTTATGTGAGATCTAGGCCAGCATGGTCTACACAGTGAGTTCCAGGCCAGCTGGGGCTACAGGGAGACCCTGTCTCCAAAAAAAAAAAAAAGAAAGAAAAGAAAAAGTACACAAACAAATAAAATACTGCTTGAAATTAGGTAGGCAAATAAAATTCTGTAGGCTTTTTGGTTATAAGGCAATTATACATTATTTCAAGCTATGTGTCATAACATAAATTTCAAATAGGTAGCACTTCCCCAATCTAAAAAACGGCTAACTATAAATGTACTTAGCCCATACAGCAATATAGGAAATTATGAACTTTTCATATCCTAAACCTAGCAGGGTATTGTAGTACACACTTGTAATTCCAGCACTTGGGAGGCAGAAAACAGGAATTCAAGGCCAGACTAGACTTCATAGCAAGACTCTTTAATTTAAAATTATAAAAAAGTATATTCTCAAGCTTCTGCAGAATATGAAAATCACAATACTGTGTCATCTTTTTCAATTCTTCATTACAGGACCCACAAGTTAGTAACTTTCCTTCAGGAAGGATTTCAACACAGAATTCCTTTAATGAAGAATTTATTAGGAGCTTAAGAAAACAACGGTCAAAAAAGAAACAAAACAATTTCAAGCCAGGGTGAGAGGTCTCCAGGAATAGCAAACATCTCTCCATGTATTATGAGCCCAAAAGATTCTGACTACTTTTCCTTGATAACATCTACAAGAAACAGAGTTTCCAGTGGCCTGCGATAGGTCAAAGGCTTCCTCGGTAACTTCCTGCTTGGACCAGTACCTCCCTGTTCTTTACCTGGCAAGTGTCTAAACTAGGAAGGCAGCACAGGTGCTTCTGGAGCAAGCGCTCCAGGACAAGCCGGGTGGCATCAACAGGTGATCCAACTAGTGGAGACAAAGGAAAGCTAGCCACAAAAGCTAGTCAGAAAATATTGAAATATTGAAAAAATAAAGGATGGTATTTTATATTAAGTAATCCTATTTCTCCAGTGTATTTTTACCAAAATGACATTCTTCTCAAAGCTTCTTATTGTTTCTCTTTCAAGATCTCAATTGAGTTTCCAGTTGCTTCTCTATGTTACATTGTCTACATGTAGCCAGAAAACTTTAAAAATTAAATTAAGGACTCTCCTCAACAAGGAAACTACAAACCTATGTATTCATCCCTCAGAAATGAAGGATTTTCCACCCTAAGCTTCAAATGTTCATTAACATTATAATAAACACCAGACATTCTGAAATTACGGTACAATGCCTTTTTCTACCATCCAAAGAAAACCAAACTGTCCTTGAAACAGCTATCAGGATCTTCCCACAGGATCTTCACAATGGCAATCTCTTCTCCTTGATAGACAGCTGCAGAAACTTTATTTTGTTATGAATGTGCAAATACACGGCAGTTTCAGGCTAAGTCAGAAAGATATAAAGTTGGTTATACAATCTTCTCCACCCCACAGTTAAAGCTGCAGATAGATGTTTCCTGATACTAAGCCAAAAGGAAGTTTGCTTTGTTCCTGCTTTGTGCCATACTTGTTCTAATAGCTGTAGGTTATACTTTAAATGAAAAAGAGTAAATGTACATTAGCTTCCAACAAAAAGCTCATAAGGAAGATTCAAATCATAGGAGGCCCTGTTGTTGCTTACAGCCATAATAAGGGTCAAAGTTTGATGTTCCTTAAGAGTCAATGCTAAGGCTTCATCCTCTTAAAACCCCAAGAAGAAACATGGTCTGCTGGGATAGCAGAAGGCAAGAAGCCAGAGTGCCTTGGTTTGGAAAGCCTTTCTGAAACCCAGAGGACAGGGTTGGTAAATCCAAAGTCCGTTCAAGTCATGGTATCTCCAAAGCTCTCCATTCACGAGGACTTCTGACAGTCATTCTCTCTTCTTAGTGGCAGGCCCAATTCTAAGAAGCTAGGTGAGCCGCTGCTGAGCCTTTCAGCTCTGAAAGGCATCTTCTCAACAAACACCATCATTCTTAAGCTGCTCTTTAATCTCCAAGTCCTTTTAAATAAAACCTCATATAATGATCAAATACACAAAACAGAAAAAAGTAGAACTATCCTTGCAGTGGAAATGTGAAAGGGTTGGAGACCTATCTAGTCATTTCTGCTTTTACTTCCCTACATGAGACAACTTTCTCAGAAGTGAAATTCCTAAGGATCTTTGAAACACAATTTGAATAATCAATAAATTTGTGAGCCTAGAGAAAGATAGTAAGAAGCATACAAAATGTTGAGAATGCCGGTTATCTCTCTTTTGTGAAGTCAGAGATAGAAGGTCCAAAAGTGGAAAACAAAAGCAGACCTGGTAAAATACAGGTATATAATTAGAGCTATAATAGTATTGCATATCCATAAAAGTATGGCAATAATGCAATTACTAAAATGTTATTCAAAAAGAGATCTGATGAGAATATAGGCAAGTCCTGATATTAGTTCCTATATAAAGTCATATCTTAAAAAGGATAAAAAAAAATGACTAGTGTCATCTGCTCATTCTCAGCTAAGAAAATGAAGCACAGATTTAACAAGACGTGTATACAAACACACAAACACTCAAGGATTATATTGATTCATCTTCACTGTCATGACTGGATTTCGGATCATCTAGAGATTGGAGGGGCACATTTCTGAGTGTGTCTGTGAGAGTATTTCCAAAGAGGATAAACTAAAGAGGAAAAACCCACTGTGCATGTAGGTGATACCAGCCCATGGGCTTGGTGGGGGTCCAGAGAGAATAAAAGGAGAAAACGGTTTGGAAAGCCAGTGGAGCACCGCTTTACTTTTCTGTTTCCAGGTCCATGGTGATGTGAACTGCTCAGCTCCACTAAGCTTTCCCCATCATGATGAACTAAAGCCTCTGAAACTGTGAGCCAAAATATGCTTTTCTTCCTTTAAATTGTCTAGAGCTAGTATCTTATCTAGCTATGCAAAAGTAACTAATGCAAGGACCTAGGACACGATATTTAGTAAACTTTTTTCTAACAGAAAAGTACTGGATTATATAAACCAAAATTTTCAACTACCAAAAAAGCTACACTGAGTTACTCTGCCATTCTCAAAAGCACAAGTTAGTACTAGATAATGAGAATAAATTCCATTATATGTTTTGAATAAGAGTCTTTGAGGAAATTCGACAAACATTATTGATCAACTTATAACTGCAAAATTTCTTTCTAAGTGAGACCTGACATACACAGGCAATTAAGACATGGGGGTCTCTTCAGAGTTTACAACACAATGAGGAAGAAAAATGCTAACAGTTATTACTATAAAGTGGAAGGAAATACAAGCAGAACAACTAATTCTAACTAGCAACACTGAAGAAAACACTGACAATAGCAGACCCGGTGAATCTTCACAGATGAATGAAGAGCTGGGCTTCTAATTCCAGCTACACAGGAGGACTGCAAATTCAAGGCCTGTCTGGGATACAGAATGAACTCAAAAGCAGCAGGTAAATTAGTAAGACTCTATCTCAAAATTAAAAGTACAGAAATGAAGAGGGGGAGGGAAAGGGAAAGGGAAAAGGAACAGAAAGAAGGTGCTAGAGATGGAGCTCGGTGGCAGACTGCTTGCCTGGCATGCAGGAAGCCCTAGGCTCAATCTCCAGTACCTCACAAACAAAACACAGAATTTCAGTTCCACAAACTGCCTGCATAATCCAAGATATGACCTTACAAGGTGACCCCACTAGGCAGAGAAAGGACACACACAAATCAAGCTAAAGATAAACATAAGCAAAGGCAGGAAAGGCAAAATATAATGTCCAGAGGAAGGTAAACTATTTGGCTCAACTAAAATATGTTCAGCACTAGGAATAGGGAGACATATGCAAGGAAACAAGACTGGAAATACAGGTTAGGCTAGGCTAAGGCAGGTTTCTAGATTAAACCAGCTTAAATTGGAACATTTAACTTGTGCCAGGAAATTTAGACTAAGAAATCTAACAAAAGTATAGAAACTGAGGAGGGAAAGAGATTGAAGGCCAATATGTTAAAATGAGGAGAGCTTTGAAATCAGGCATCCAAAATTCAAGCAGAACTTAAGGATCAGCAATGGCAGACACCGCAGCTATCCTGGCAAGACTATATGTCACTCCTAACAGATCACTTGGCTTAATGCAGTATGAGAGCCCCAGTATTAGCAACATGACCCAGAGACTTTAATCATTTTACCCTATCTCATAACACACTTTAACGCTCAGCACCTTCACTTTCCCAGGCCTGCAGCTGTTCTTGATCCCTGGTAGCACTGCCCAGCACCTCTCGAGGCACGGGCTCCATTCGTGCGTCCACTTTCTCTTGGTGAGAGGACTGGTTAAATCCATCAATGGCCTTTTGGAAGAAGAAATTCAGTTCCTCAAAGTTCATGGCCTGGAGCTCCGCATAAAGCTCTACCTGCTGGGCTTCTTCCAGCTCATTCCAGAACTGCAGCAGGTGTTCTTGCCCAACTTTGGACAACCTGAGTTTGAGGTCATTAACATTCATAGTGCTCTGGTAGCCAAGCTGTTTTTGTGAAACCAGGAATGTGAGAGCTGTGAACCTAAAAGAGAAAAGGAATTAAAAACAGGCCAAAACCCAATCTCCAAACCTGAGGGGATTTTTCTTACCAAGTAGTCATGTACAACATAATAACATTTTGGTCAACAACACCACCTATACAACTGAAGTCCCGTGAATTGCATCATCCCATCATAGCTACCTTAGGTTGTATACTTGATGATGCTTTCACAGTAATGGCACATTTCTCAGAACATAGCCCCATCATTAAGATATGCTTCACAATACATTTTTAAAAACTTGATGTTAAGAAATGAACTTTTCTACTCTCAATATTTGTGAAAGGTCAAACTTAAAAGACAATAAAATGTTCTACAATTCTGTCATCTGTAGTACTGTTTGCACATGGAGGAGACTGAAACACAAAGAAGCTCAGCAGCATAGCCAGTGGAGTGGGGCATGAACCAGGCACCCTCATCCCAAGGCTCACACTCCTCTGACCACTAAGCTACCACTTAATATTTCAGCTGTTCTCCTTTGTCTCTAGTCATTAACTACTGTTGTATTCAGACTACAGCAATCTTTAGGAATACAGGACCACCTATAATCATGAAAAGTAAGTTTCAATAGCAACTTAAGCAGAGAAGCAAAGAAAGCAACACCATTATCTCTACGTACTAAAAATTGGACCATAAGGAAAAAGGAAAAGTGACATACACATAACAATCAATGAATAAGACCATGTTATTCACAAACATGAGTATCTGTGATCACATAGTAAAATGTTAAACTGGACAGTGCTAAAAAGGAAAAGAACAAAGAAATATTTAGTCTATCTACCTAGTACAGATAAATGTAAGAAGAGATAGGTATTGGCTGGAAAAAGTTCACAATCTAGCTGTGTCTCTAGGGTTGCACACATTGTATAGATAAGATTAGGATGAGCAGGGGGCTGGAGAGATGGCTCAGCAGTTAAGAACACTGGTTGTTCTTGCAGAAGACCTGGGTTCAAATCTCAGTACCCAGATGGCAGCTAACAACTGTCCGTAACTCCAGTCCCAGGGGATCCGACAGCCTCTTCTGACCTCCATGGGCATTGCACAACAAGGGTACACTTACCTACATGCAGGCAATACATGCATACACATAAAAATAATAAATTTTTTTTAATTAAAAAAAAAAAGATTAGGATGAGCCAACCCTGGTGGCCCTGAAAAGTGAGGATGAACAGGTGTCAAAGCAGCAGTAAGAAAGTGAATTCCTTTAGTACAATGATGGATACAGTGTAGGGTAGGGCTAGACCATAGCAACCAAGGAAGGCCATGTAATGGATTAATGGATTCTAGTTCTAACAGTAAGTAATGGGAAGCCAACAGTAAACTAAACAAGACACTATCCTCAAACTTCAGAAAGAAAAAAGGAGCAATGGCACAGAACAGACCAGAAGGAGAGACAACTGGAAACCTGAAGGCAATTTAAAAGACAAATGTAGGTATGAAAAGCCAAAGGTTCCAGTGAGAATGGCTATCATCAAAAAAGCAAATAACAACAAATGCTGGTAAGATGTGAGGGAAAAGGAACCCTTATATAATTCTAATAGGAATGTAAACCTGTATAGTCAGAAAATAAAAACAAAACTAACATAAGTCAGAATAGAGATGCTTACACAGCCATGTTTCTTGCCACACTATTCATAATAGCCAAGTTATAGAAGCACCCTAGACATCCATCAACAGACCAATAAAGAAAATGTAGTAGATATACCAATGAAATTTTATTCAGTCATAAAGAATAAAATTATGTAATTTTCAGAAAAATGGAACTGAAGGCCATCAATAGAATAAGCCAGATTCAGGAAAATAGTCTGTATTTTCTCTCACATGCAGAATCTACGTCTGTGTGTGTGTGTGTGTGTGTGTGTGTGTGTGAAAACATGAAAATAGAGGGGGACTATGCATGGAAAGAGGTCTAAAGGGAGTAGAGAGGTGAGAACAAGAGAGGGCAATGGGGAAGGGAATGAAGGAAGATCAAGTATGTGTTTCTTTCATACTATTCGGGGGAAGGGAGGCCAGGAAGGCAGTAGGGGACAAATACGTACAAGGTCCAATGATATATATTAAAAATATGCCATACTTAAATCCATTGTTTTGTATACTAAATATTATTTTTAAAGAAAAACCAAGAGTGTGACTCAGATTACTAGTAGAGAGGAAAGAGTGAAAGGGATGAATTTAAGGCTTGCTGTAAAGAATCCTCACTGCATCCCAACTGCTTAGATAGAAGGGTTAAAGGAAAGACGTAACAAGGAAATAACCTATCCTCCTTTCACACACTCATGAAAAGTAGTACAGAGCACAGCACAATTCTGGAGTTCACCTATACCACCTAACTTCCCCAAGCCTCAGATCCTTTCCTTTCCTTTTTTTTTTTTTTTTTTTTTTTAGGTCTTTTTGAGACAGGGTCTTCCTGTAGCCCTAGCTGTCCTGGAACTCACTATGTAGACCAGGCTGGCCTTGAACTCACAGAGATCCGCCTGCCTCTGCCTCACAAGTGCTGGGATTAAAGGTGTGTGCCACCACGCCTGGCCCTTTCCTTATTATAGGAGGAGATTAATAATGGTATCTGCCTCATCATCACCCATTATCAAATGTCACGTTTACAAACTGGGATGACGTGAACCTACACTTTATGATGTGTGAGGCAGTGGTAATGAGAGCACTACGGCCTTTACAAGAAAACAAGGGTAGGCTCACCCATCTGCGACAAGAGGCACAAAATTTGCACTCCAGAGCACTAAGTCATGACCTTCTGAACTTAACAGAGCAACTGTGAAAACTCAGAAAAGTTTTCCAAAGATACAAGAAAAAGCCAGTAGGTATCTATCCCCCAGAAGAAGGTGGCAGGCACCCCGAAGATTCAGGTCACCTGTTCCTCCTATAGCCAGAAGTCTTGCGACATGAAAGGGGTCATGCTGCAATATCAAACCTATCTCTTGTACTGTGTGCCTGAGGAACTCCAGATGCCCATCACATAGCTCTCAGGTTTGAGGATCAAACAATACCAACTTTTATTACTGGTTCTATTGCCTAGATTAAATCACTTCCAACTTTGGTATCTGCAGTTGTAAAATAGGAATAAAATTTTCCTCACAAGGCTGAGGCATAACATAAATTATCTTTACAATCAATTACAAACGAGTTTGAAAAAGGCTAAGTAATTTGCCTCAGGCTACATTATCAGTACCTAGAAGAACAGGAATTTTAGCTTATATGTGACTCTAAAGTCACATATAAGATCCAGTGCTGGGTCTCACTTAAAGACAGGCAGTATGATTTAGTGGTACTCATCACTGGGCTCTGGAAGAGCCCAGCTGGGTTCATACATCAGCTCTACCCAATTCCAAGTTTGTGATTTTTGAGCTAGTTACTTAACCTTTCTACGCCTCAACTTTTCATGTCTATCAAATGGGACAAAGACAGTACTTAGTCAGATATGGTGCAAATGACATAAATCTTAGCTTTTGGAAGAGGCACGATGAAAAATCTGAGGATCCCTTTGGCTATATAGTGAAACTATACCCAGAATGCATAGCAAGACCCTATCTCAAAGGCAGGAAAAAAAAAAAAAGAGTGCTGACCTCTAAAGTTAAGGGACTTAATGACTTAATATGATGAAAGTATTTTTAAATTATTTTTTATTTTATGTGTATGAATGTATTGCCTGCATGTGTGTAAGTACACCTGTGTCATGCAATGCTGCAGAGATCAGAAGAGGGCATTTAAGGACGGTTCTTGGCTGCAATGTGGGTGCTAGGAACGAACCCAGGCCTTCTGCAAGAACAGTCAGTGCTCTTAACTGCTGAGCCATCTCTCCAGCCCTCCAATGAAAAGTATTTTTTATAGTGCCTGGCACACAGACAGCCCTCTATAACATGCTATTCAGTACTATCATATAAGTAAAATTTGTAGAGAACTAAGTCACAATCTCCTGAACATGGCAGAGCTACTGTGTGAGCTAGGCAGTGAAGGATGAAAAGTTTACCAAAAAATACAAGAAAAGAAAATCTACTCAGTGGGAACAGTAAAGGGAAAAAAAATGCCTCAAAACTAGATGCATTCAAGGAACAAGGTTAGGATATGGGTGACAGAAACTTTGTGAATGCTACTGTACAATGGGGACAGATTGTCCCCCAGGTACAATGGGGACAGATTCTGAGAATCAAATGCTTTGGTGGTTTCATCATTGTGTGAACATCACAGACCACAGTTAACACAAACCTAGAAAGGCAATCACTCAATATGGCTCAATATGGCTTCCTGATGCAACCAAGAAAGACAGTAAACACAACATGAGGCTGTTGTTGGCATAACATGTAATATGCATACTATTTAACACTTATAGTGTCAAACATGTAGTAATGCAAGCTACAAGGGCAACTATTTCACTAGGAAATAGGAAATTTTCACCTCTATCATAATCTGTGGGACCTCCATGATCTGCTGTTACGTGACATAAGACTAACTGAGCTGTGATGGGTCCCCAATCACCCTCCTCACTATGTGAATAGGTTACTCCTAAAAGCTTCCGTGTGTGTGTGTGTGTGTGTGTGTGTGTGTGTGTGTGTGTGTGAAGAAGGAAAATTAACTTTCATGTGTCATTAGTAATTTTTAGGTATTTTATTATTTTGTTTTTCTATGTATGAATGTTTTGTCTGCATACGTAAGTGTACCATGTGCATGCAATGCCTATGGAGGTCAAAAGAATGTGTCAGAGCCCTTGGAACTGGAGTTACAGATGGTTGTTATCTACCATGTGGGTGCTGGGAACTGAACCCAGGTCCTCTGCAAAAGCAGCCAATGCTGCTAACCAGTGAGCCATTTCTCTAGCCCACCACATGTCATTATTTTTTAAGTCAAATATTTGAGATACTGATTTGGGTGATAGGGAAACACAATGGAGATAAATATAAGACGTCATGAAACACAGTACAAAGGAAAAGAATGGGAGAAGGGACTAAGGCCTACCAGGGACAACAGTAGGTAACTAGGTAAGAAGCCAGAGACAGCTTCTATAGGACTCATTTTTGAGCCTATGTATGAAGGAATCAACCAAGCTTGGGACAAAGTATCCTAGGTAGAAATAGCAAGCGAAATGGCCCCAACACAGGAACATGGGTGCCATTTACTAATGCTGGAGAACTAGGATGATGGCAGATTTAGGGGTGTGTGAAAACTGGAGAGACTTAATGTCCTCCTCTTTTTGAGTCTTGTTCACTTTAGTAAATCTATTAGACATCCAAATAGAAATGCAGACCATAAAATAATAGTTTCAACTTCAGGAGTGATACCATGGCTACCTGATAAAACTTTCAAGATCTCCAGCATAAGAAAATAAGTTACAGTCTGAATGAAATTCCCCAAAGAGTACAGGTAGATACAAAAGCAAAGAAGTCAAAAAACTAGTTTTGGACATTTTTTAGGGAAATAAAAACTATTTCTATTGGGGCTAGAGAGATGGCACAGTGGTTAAGAGCACTGGCTGCTCTTGCAGAAGACCCAGGTTTGGTTCTCAGCACTCACAAGGTGGCTAACAACCACATGTGCCTCCAGTTCCAGAGGTTCTGACACCCCTTCTGATATCCTTGGGCACTGTGCCCAATGCATCCATCTGATGCAGTTACATACATGCAGGCAAAACACTCATACACATAAAATAAAAATAAAATATTTTTTAAAAATAAAATAAATCAAAAGAATAAAAAAAAGTTAAAATTTTAAGTAAAAAAAAAGCCTTTCTAGGCCTGGCATGTTGGCACATGCCTTGATATGGTAGCATTCACTTTTAATCCTAGCTTTTGAGAGGGGCAGATGGAATTCTCTGAATTCAAGGCCAGTCTGGTCTATATAGTGGGTTCTGGGCCAGCCAGAAAAAAAAAAAAAAAAAAAAAAAAAAAAAAAAAAAAAAAAAAAAAAACATGGGACTGGAAAGATGGCTAGGCAGTTAAAGGCACTAGCTGTTCTTGCTGAAGACCCAGGTTCGAATTCCAGCACCCACATGGTGGCTATCAACCATCCATAGCTCCAGTTCTAGGGAATCTGACACACTCTTCTGTCCACAAGCACTGTGAGCACTGCACGACATGGGTGTCTTTACACACATGCAGGAATAACACTCAAAACACACAAAATAAAATCAAAACTTACAAAAAAAACCCACATAATTGGGGGGACAGAAAAATGGCTCAGCAATTAAGAGTACTGGCTGCTCTTGCAGAGGACCAGGGTTCAGTCCTCGGCACCTACACTGCAGCTAACAACCACCTGTAACTTCAGTTTCAGGGGATCCAACACCCTCTTCTGACCTCCGTGGACACTGCATGATACAAGTGCACTTACACATGCAGGCAATACACTCATACACATAAAAATAAATTTTAAAAACACATAAGACATGTTGTATGTATGAAATTCTCAAAGAATAAACTTTAAAATGTTACATTTTAAAAAATAATAAAAAAGACAGTTGGAAGAGGTAGATTTGTATTATTTTCCAAGGCATAGTTCCCAGGGTCTCATTCACAGTACTGTTTTTGTGCAGATTTGAGGGAGCTTGGTACATATTATCACAGGAAAACAGGCAACCAATGAATAGGAGATCCTAATTCTTGGTCCTTCCCCTATCATATGACCCTGTGCAAATAATTTCACTTCCCTGTGTATGTATTTCCTCAAGAAGATAAGACAATCCAGACCTTTTCATATATGACAGTCAAAAATGAAGAGAGCTCTGTCTACTAAAAGCACATTAAAACATACTGTAACCATTCAGTACAAATCAAATTTTTCCTAAAAAAGTTATTCAATACCCATCTATACCTTTAGGTGCTTAAAAAAAATGGATCCATACCAATAAAACAATTCATGGTAAACTGTGATATTTGGACCCAGAACACTAGCAATCTACAAAGGTTACCAAAATCATACGGGCTCACCTACATGTTACATAATATTCATAACCTAACAAGCACAATTTATGTTTACCGAAGGCAGCTATAACCACCCTCATAACACTTTATGCCATCAGTAGTGTACTATATTTCTCAATGGTCAGAGGTTGTGTGTGTGTGTGTGTGTGTGTGTGTGTGTGTGTGTGTGTGTGATGCTAAGTAGCAACAAAAAGAGTTAAAAGACATGGATTTTTATCCTACCAACAAAAAATCTGAGTTGAAAATCTACTCTAAAACTTCTGACAACTTGCTATGTGCCTATAACAACACAAATGACAAAAGTGGTTAACAATCCACCATTATCAAATATGCCTTTATTAAAATTCAAAGGCCAGTATTATACTAAAGAACGTCAGAATTTTCTATCTCCTCCCCTACCTCTGCTGTTACACGTCCTCAATATGGGTGAGTAAATCTCTTTTGAAAAACAGTACTGAGATTGAATCCTAACCACTGACAGCACAGGCTACGAAATCTCCTTTAGCCCCAGCCAAGTGCGCCAACCGACTAATAGTGAAATAGACAAATGCCTTCAGTTTCCTGCAAACCCTTGGATCCATGCCCAGTGAACTTCACCTCCAACTCCTTAAACTTTTGCCTCACGTAAGGATAGAGAGATATGATCATAATCACTACTACCTGATTTCAGATTTCATAAATAGTATACAAATAAACTGCCTTGGGCCAAACTTAAAAAAAAAAAAATCTTCAAGAACCTATGTGTGCTCTCAGCCCTCCAACCCCATCCTTCTGCTTGACCAAGTGAGGGGAAACCCAGAAATGTGAACCCTCTCCCACTGTCCACATCAAGGGAGGGCGAAGAGCCAGGCAGCTGTGGTCCCAGTCACCCCTCCCACAGGGGTCCCGGTCCTTGTCAGAGCTGTTCTTTTCTTCACACGTTCAAGACACCCCACTGACAGTTGCATCACCGCCAGCCCTGGCCTGAGAACCTCCAGGCTCCTCTCCCGGAGCCAGGCACCGGCCCACTCGCGGCCCCACCAGCGCCGGCACACGAGGGTGACTCCTGGCACGGCCCGAGCCTCCTCTCCGGGTCGCCCCCCTCCCTCCACGCCCCCCCGCCAGCGACGCAGCCCACGGCCCTCTGGCGAGGTGGCCCGCGATGCGCGGCGTCCTCGCGGTGCACCCGGCGGACTCCGCTGCTCTGCCGGGCACGTTGCGGGACGCGTGGCGTGGGAGCGCGGGTGCCGGTGCCTCGGCCCCTCCCGCGCTGCGCGCCCCTACCTCGGCTCCGCCCGCCTCCGGCTCCTTCGGCTCGACCTCTCGCCGGCGTCCCGCGCCCGCCTGGAATATATACTGTCATCCGGGGGGCCGGGGCGGCGGGGCGGGCCGCGAGCGGTGGCCGAGGGGAGCGCGGGCCCCGGCCACCCCGCCCCTCACACCTCGGTGACTGGCTGCGGCTGCGGGGCGGAGCGGAAGCCGCCGGCTCGACACGTCAGCACCCTAGAGCGGCCCAAAGGCCGGGCGTCTGAGGGGCGGGGCCTCCGCACGTCACTCACGCTCCGACCCAATGGCACGGCCCACGGGCTTGTCAGTCTGAGGTCCCGCCTCCTCACGCACTGACGGGGGTGGGGTCGTCTGCGTGCGCGGGCCTGGAGAGGTCAGTAGGGCCCCCACTGGAAAAGCTGCGCGTGCGTGGTCTCCTTGGGGTCCGCGCGGGTACCGTGTCTGGCGGGCTCTGTGTCTGACAATGGTGCGGGCTCTGTGTCTGTGGATGGAGGATTTCAGAGCACCCACGTGTGTGGTTGGGAAAGACCTGCGGATGTCTGTCCGCGCCCTGTAACCTTAGGCTAAGCTAGTTTCATCGCAGATTCTCTTGCTGCCGGCCAGGTGTCCGTGTCGCGTGTTTCCCCCATCCCCCCGACCCTGATGGCCCTTTGTACAGTCACACATGAAGGAAAAGAAGAAATGCAAGCACGAGGGATTAGGTAACTCGAGGTTGCGCCTAGCATGCCAGTGAAAGTGGCTCCAGGGTCCACGACAGTCACTTCTCGGCGGGAGGTGCCCATGTTCACCCATCCGGTTACACAACCTGCTGCGGGCTCCTCGCACACTATCCTCAGTGCTATGCCTTAGCAGTTGTATTTATATTTAAAGTGATGTTAGGTTTTAGTTTCTGAGAGAAGTCCGATTTGATAGCTCTCAAAACATCTAGATTTCACATAGCCCGGACGCTCCCGAGAAATTCAGCCATTTAAACACATTTCTTCTAATACCCGGTGGGTAGGCTTCCTATTTTAAATTTTCAGTGTTTACTGTCTGTTCTTGCATATTCACTTTTCTTGGACTTTAGTATAAGAAGTTTTTCATTTAACCAGGGGTGTCATTTGTAAACTAACAAGAGATATTTTCCCACTTGACAAGTAATTTGTGGCTTTGGGGAATTTTGTGCCCAACACAAAAGAAAATCCTTTAACCCACAGAGCATACAACTCTGGGGGAAAAGGATCCAGGAAGGGTGTGATAAGTAACAGTGGTTTGCTTGTCCCGGATCACACGCACTCTGGTATCCGGTCAAAATGCCACGTCACCTGAGGATCTGTAAATGCCAGCATCAGTACTGTTTATGTTGGCAGCTGTGCCTTCTTGGGGCAAGAATAACGATATTTGTTTCTGGTTTTCAAACTTCCAGTTTTGAAAAAAGTCTTAAATCGTAGTACAGAACCTGTAGAGGGGCGGGGGATATTGCATGGAATCCCATGATCTCTACATACGGATATCCCTGTGGTTGAATTACTCTCTTAAGAATGAACTGGCAGCTTTAGTACTCAATGAAGAACAGATTGTTCAGAATGTGCTTATTGGATTATTCTATGCTAGACCTTATGTTAGATATCATGGGAAATCCGAAAAAAAAAATATGTGTCCCCAAAGAATTTATAGTACTACAATAGAGGCAGACAGCTGCTCCTTTCAAAATGGAGGGTCGTGAGTGCTGCAGGAGAGCACAAAGGACTTCGGGGCCCAGAGGAGGGAGAGAAGAAAGGAATAAAGAAGTTTCCCGCCAAGATATACCCATAGTTTGGGAAAGAACTGAGGGACAGCCTCACTCTTCTGAAGGCTGCCCCCACCCCATACTCAGCCTCAGTGATAGAAGTTTTATATGCCTTCCCATTGGCAACAAGATCACCTTTGTTAACTCCTGGTATCTCAGTAATTAAAAAGACCAAGGAATCTGTCTGTGGATTATTTTTAATTAGAAAGGAAAATATCTATCTAATGATTGCTATTAAATATACTGTGAAATTCGAAGTATCAAAAGGGAATGCTTGCAAAAAAGATACATAGTTTTAGTAATATGATCTCAGCCTGGCTTAAAAAAATAGGTAATATTTTCATCTGTTGAATGGACAGATGGACGGATGGATGGATGGATGAATGAATGGATAGGATATTGCGAGATCTAGAAAGAAAAGATCACCAAAATGCCCTGAACTTCACACAACATTGAGACATGAGCACGTCACCTGAGGATCTGTAAATGCCAGCATCAGTACTGTTTATGTTGGCAGCTGTGCCTTCTTGGGGCAAGAATAACGATATTTGTTTCTGGTTTTCAAACTTCCAGTTTTGAAAAAAGTCTTAAATCGTAGTACAGAACCTGTAGAGGGGCGGGGGATATTGCATGGAATCCCATGATCTCTACAGAATTAGGCTGGGAATATTTCTCAGTGATAGAGCCCTTGCCTTACATATACAAGTCCTTAAACTCAACCTCCAGCACCTACCCTCCCAACACAAAAAATGTCAGGATGTGAAATATTTTATTTTTATTATGCATATTATTTATGCAAATTAATAGGTGTCACTGTGATGTGCATATATGAATGTGCATATATTTCCATATTATGCTGGATAACTTTAGTTATCAACTTGACACAACTGGGTAGAGGGAGCCTCAACTGGGGAATCGCCTCCATTGGATTGGCCTGTGACCATGTCTGTGGGGCATTTTCTTGATTGTTGAGTGATGTGGGAGGACCCATCCCTTGGCAGGTGGTCCTGTATTATATAAGAAAGCAGGTTGAACACAGGCCAGGGAACCAAGTCAGTAAGCAGCATTCCTCTATAGCCTGTGTTCCATCTCTTGCCTCTAGGTTCCTGCCCTGAGTTCCTACCTTGGGCTCCCTCAGTTATGAACTGTGACCCAGGAGTTGTAAGATAAACCCTTTCATCTTCAAGTTGGCATTGGTCAGAGTGTTTTGTGTTTTGTACAGCAATTGAAAAGAAACTAGAACACACACACACAGACACACACGTATATCATGATTGTAACCACTCTCCAAGTTACCTTCTGAGAAGAGATGCTTTGAATGCACCATTACTGTTAAAATTTTTTAAATTAAGATATATATGTCTAGGTAAGGTTTATGAGAAAATTTGGTCTTTGCCCAAGATTTAGCTACATGACACACAGTAATAAAAAGTAGCAGACTGGTGGAACTAACCTTCTTGGATGTTTAACAGACATACTTTGAAGCCTATAATAATTGGGCCAGAGGGACATAAAGGACACTTTTTGCTCCTTGCCCTCCTAGGTCGACTAGTTCCAGGGGACTATGAGCATCTCTCAATGTCCTGTAATTATGGTGGGTCACCGGTCCTCTTGATCAAGGAGGCCGAGGAGACCCTACCAGATGGACTTGAACCAGTGTCCACTCTACAAAGAGGAGGGTCAACACAGAGGAATCATTTCTCCATGCTTTCAAGCCAACCATGGTCGAGCAGGACCTTTGACTTATGTTCACATAGGCAGAACTGGTAAAAGAAAGGTGCCAGGGGCTCCTCCCAAGCCTGTGTGACCCCTGAGGAACAGATCCTCAAATGACCTTAAGAGTAAAAATAAATTGGTTTATCTGGGCCAACTGTATGGCCTTAAACACCCAAAAGGAAAGTATAACCAAAGATTAAAGGGACCAATATAATTTCTTAAGAGTCCATATGCATAGCTAAAGGCTACATAACAAGCAACAATGCCAGACAGACGATACCTTCTTTTGAGTTGTTGGCCAGGGTGGCCAAAGGGACTCCCAGACAGTAACCCAGCATAGAACTGGGAAAATGAACAGCAGACCCCAATATATTGACAACTGATTGCTGCTAGATGAGAAACAGCTGACCTTCCTAAAACAAAGACCTCTAGATAGGCTGACTAGATTCACCAGAAGGGCAAGTAGTGGGTAATGGCTGGGGGTGCTGACAACAGACAGTAGCAGGAATATCAGAGTATAAGGACTTTAGTGGGGGGAGGGAGGCTATGGGAGTCATCTGGGAAGTAGGTGTATAGTTGAATAAGATGGTTTGGAGTGCTCTGTGTGATATACACACAAAAAAAATTAAATTTTTAAAAATATATTTGAGAAAGAAGCATGGAAACTTACATCATGCTAATTAGTAGAGGTGATAAACATTACCATTGAAATCTACCCGATGACTTCATA